GGAGTGCAGAGCGGTGAAGCGCGAGAGGGACGAGGGGAGTGAGCCGGAGAGCTGGTTGGTGGAGACGTTGAGGGAGAGGAGGGAGGAGGCGCAGGAGGAGGAGGAGGGGAGGAGGGAGGAGAGGGGGCCGGAGAAAGCGTTGGAGGAGAGGAGGAGAGAGGCGAGGCGCTGCTTGCCCTGGCAGAAGGCAGGCAGGGAGCCTTTGAGCTTGTTGCGTGAGAGGTCCAGATGGGTGAGTGGGGGGATAGCAGCGAGGGAGCGCGGCAGCGAGCCTGATAGCAGGTTGTCAGAGAGATCCAAGTGGGATAGGGCTGTGAGGCCAGTGACAAGAGCATCGGAGATGCTTCCAGTGAGTTTATTTGAAGAGAGGTCCAAGTAGGAGAGGGGGACGAGGGAGGAGCTTTGGCTGTTCCCCTGGGGAGGGTCTGGGATGGGGCCATAGAGCTGGTTGTGGGAGAGGTCGAGCAGCGATAGGCACGAGGAGAATATGATACTAGGGATGCTCCCAGAGAGCTCATTGTGGCTCAGCCGAACCTGTAACTTGCATGCAAGCTCCACTTGTCCTGATCCTGTCGCTCGTTTTAAAAATGGGTAGGTCTGTTGCGCAAGAGTGCCATTGAACGCATTGTAGGAGAGGTCCAGATAGGTCAGGCTCATTAGCCTATCACTGTCACCCAAAGCTGGCAGATTTCCAGCCATGGCATTGTGAGAGACGTCCAGACTTTTCAACCTCTTGCCCTGACTAAAATGCCACTGGGCCATCCCATCAAGCTTGTTCCAACTTGCGTTCAGATACTGCATTACAAATGACGGCGGGGGGACTTCCCCGGTGAGCCGGTTGTGGGACAAGTCACATCTTATCAGGAAGCGATCCAGCTCAGGAATGGTGCCGGAGAGCTGGTTGTATGACAGGTCGAGAGTCTTCATGGAGACGAAATTGACGATGGTGGGAATTGAACCCGTGAGCAGGTTGTGTGAGAGGTCCAACTCTCCTCGCACTTTGTCTCGCAGGAGCGTGGCAGGGATGGGTCCCAAGAGCTGGTTGTGAGACAGGCGCAGCACTTTCGAATCGAAGCTGTCGTCTTTCGCAAAGAGGTCCTGAAGCGGGGCGCTGATACGGTTGTGTGAGAGGTCCATGTAGTACGCGTTCCAGGAGGCGTTGCCGGGACCGCACGTGAGGAGGTTGTGAGAGACGTTGAGTGTGTGGAAGTATTGCGGGAGAGGGGAGAGCGTGGCTGCGTCGCCTGAGAGCTGGTTGCTGCTGACATCCAGACGAGTCAGCAGCGGGAAGACCCCGCTGAGTCCCCACAAGAAAGGCGCACTGGGGGCAGCAGAGTCGGCAGTACTGCCAGCGTCAGCAGCAGCAGCAGCGTCAGCAGCAGCAGCAGCTGGGGGGTGGAAGGCGGCAGCGAGTGCAGAGATGTCCCCCCGGAGGGCGTTCCCCTTCAGGTGCAAGTCTTGGAGCATCCAGAGCGCGCCGAGCTCCCTTGGCAAGCTGCCGTCCAGCCGGTTCTGGTCCAGCGCCAGGCGCGTCAGCCCCGTCAGAAGACTCACGGCAGCTGGAATGGACCCCGAGAGAGCGTTCCCCCCCACGTCTAGACTCTCCAAGCTCGGTGACAGCAGCGGCGGCGTCGCCGCCTCCGCCCCTGCTGCTGCTGCTGCCGCTGCTGCAGTGGCGGCTGGGAGGAGCTCTCCCGTGAGGTTGTTCCCGCGGAGGGAGAGTTCTCGCAGCGAGGGGAGGGCGAAGAGGCCCGGAGGGATGGAGCCGGAGAGGTGGCGGTCGGAGGAGAGGTCGAGAGCGACGAGGTGAGAGAGGCGTGACAGGGACGGCGGCAGGCCACCGGAGAGGACGTGCCCGGAGATGCGGAGCGAGGTGAGGTGCGTGAGCTGCCCCAACGCCTCCGACAGACTCCCGCTCGCACTGCCGGCGCTAGCGCTGCCGCCATGCAGGCCCTGCAGGAAGAACCACACCGTATTGGGAGGCGGCGGAACGTCGTGCGCGCATGTCTGGTCGCCGTACTGGTCGTACACGCATTCGGGCGATTCCGGGACGAAGTTGGGGTGTAGGGTGATGTTGGAAGCGCCTATCAGGTGCAGAGTGTCCACGTGTCCGTCTGCTGTGCACCCCACGCCGTACCACGCACACGAGCTGCTGCTGCTCGCGTCCCAGCTGCGCAGTATCTCCGCCCACGAGCCGTTTCCGCCGTTCACCAACGCCGTTCCCCCCCCTGCTCCTCCGACTGTTCCCCCCGCTGCTTCCCCCAGGAGCGCATCGCGCACCGCCAGCAGAGCAGCAGTCTCCGCAGCGGACGCCTGCACGCCAGGCGCCGGCGCGGGGAGGTACCCCGCGCCCACGGCGCCCGCCATGCGCGCGCTGTTGTTGCTCACGCGCAGCACGTCCCAGTCGTAACTCCAAACCCGGCGCGCGTCAAACAGCGGCCCCGACAGCTCATTAAACCGCAGGTCCACGAGCCAGAAGTCGTCGCTGAAAAACGCCTCGGGAATACTGCCCGAGAAGTTGTTGTGCGACAGATCCAAGTCCACGGACGGAAGCACCGTGAAAGCTCGCAGGTTGCCCGAGAGGCTGTTGTGGCTCAGGTCGATCCGGATTATCCTACCCACGCCGCCCATGGAGGGCTTGCGCCCCGTCTGCGCGTTCGTCGCGAGGAACAGGTCGGTCGGAACGCTCCCCCGGAGGCCCGCGTGCGGCGCGCTTAGTCTCTCTAGCTTCGCGGGCAGCACGCAGCCGTGCAGAGAGCCCCCCTCGTCCGCCTCACCTCCGCCGCCCCCGCCGCCGCCGCCGGTGGCGCTGGCGCTACTTCCGACGCTCGCGCCGCCCAGGTCGTTGAAGCCCAGCCAGAGCTCGCTCGCCGGCAGCAGCGCGTCGCAGAACGGCACGATGAGCGCGTTGCTGTCGAGTCGCACCTCGTCGAGCTCCGTGAGCGACTCGGAGTCGCGCAGCGCCGCGGGCACCGCGCCGGAGAGACGGTTCCACCCCAGGTCGAGTTTCCGCAGCGCCGTCATCTCCGCCAGCGCGGCCGGAATGGCGCCGGACAGGCTGTTGTTGCGCAGGATGAGCTGAATGATGCTCCGCGAATACGCGCCCGCCTCCCCCGGGAGTTCTCCCGTGATGTTGTTCCTCTCCAGGTCCAACCGACTCAGCGCTGGCGCGCGGAGAAGGGCGCGCGGAAGCTCCCCCGAGAGCGCGTTGCCGGACAAGATGACCGTTTCCAGCGACGGGGAGTACGTGTCGGGCCCGTCGGGAAGGGACCCCGAAAAGCCTTCATGTTGAAAGTACGAGTGAAGACTAATTGTGCTGAGATCCACGTGGCGGAGCGCGGGCAGGCGGAAAAGGCCTGGCGGAATGGGCCCGGAGAAGTTGTTTTCGGGCATTTCGATTTCCGTCAGCTTCTGGAGGCGCGTGACGGAGTCCGGCAAGTCGCCGGCGAGGCACGAGTGGCGGAAAACCAGCGACGAGAGCTCCGAGAGGTCGCCTATGGCGGGCGACAGCGCGCCGGGTGGACAGCTCCCTCCGCTCCCGCCGGGCCCGGGCATGTCCTGGCGGCTCGGGTCGGAAAAAATGCCCGTTATGTGGCCGGCGGGCGTGCACTCGAGCGGGCACCAGAGGCGGCACGACACATTAGCGGGCTTGGGCGCGACGCAGCAGTAGGAGACGTTGTGGCTGTCGTCGAACAGCTTGTACTGCGGTATGCCGTCGTGCCAAAAGAACATCCCCTCGGGCAGCGCCGCGTACACCGCGCGCATGGCCTCCCGGTCGACCTCCGCTATCTCCGCGACGCACCCGTCGGGGATCGGCGGCTTGGTGTAGGCCTCCGCCTGGCGGAGGAGCGCGATGAGCGCGAGGAGGACGATGAGGGAAAGGCGCGCAGGGACGGGGAGGGGGAACGGGAGGGCGCGAGGGAATGAGGTCATAATGCTGTGTGAGAATCTGGAAATGTGCGGATTAGAATGAGAGTTTACTATTGGAGAGGCGGAAATAGCACTAGAAGTATGTAGTCCCTACGGGGGCGACAACTCGAGCACTACCGTCGCTTGTATTACTGGTACCAAACCCGGGTGTTGATGCACGGATCTTCTGAGCGAACTGGAGGGAGGTCGAGTATATAATGGAAGAGTAGTACCTGTGACGTTGAGTATAGTAGCGGCATTATCGGGTTTTCTCCCACGTTCGGAACGTTGACTTCGTTGACGGGAGATCAGGATGGTCTAAGGCGGACGAGGATTGAGCGGAGGTAGATTGGCTGAAGGGATGCGCGCGGAGTACGAGGCGCGTTCTGACCCGGCGCCTGCTGCGGGAATGGACAGCCATAGTAACAGCGGGTATTGTTACGGCGCGCATGAAGCCGCTAACGACCACAAGGGGAGGCGCGAATAGGGGTGCAACGTCACTACAGTGTGTACCATGATCTGTCTTGTGTTATTGCCAGTGAAGTGCCCTGAACTGGTGAGTCCAGCTAGGCGAAGGCGAGAATTTCACGACGTCGTTGTGACGACGTCGTGAAACAGGCACCAACGAACCAAGCCAATAGGTTTGTCGAAGGTGTGAGAGCAGCAGCGAAGGCGGAAGACACGGCACGACTTGGAGAGAAAGAGGAGGAACAGAAGAGTAAAGAGACGGAGGTGGGGGAGGGAACAGAGTCAGGCGGGATCTAGGGATGGAGGAAGGGAGGGATGGTGGCAGTGGCACTGGTTGGGTGGGGTAAGGGCGTGTTAGCTCTTTTTCCGAACAATCGAACTTTGCACTGTTACAGATTTTCGTCAATGTCGTTAGACGACTTCGCGAAACCCTTACCGGCTAGTGTCCACTTTGTAGCACACTTCGAACTCGCACCCGTCAATTTCGCCGGTTTTGAAAAGTTTGGCTCCCTGGAATTTGCAAATCTCGAAAAATTCCAGCATCAAACAAAACAAATATAGGAATGATCACATTGGGGCCTCGGAGTAGCAGAAAGATGGCCAACTTGGGGCCTCGTGATTCGCGACCCTACGAAGAAGGCCCGAAGCAACCCACAAGGGGAATTGATCAGAATGGGGCCCCGGGTTAGCAGAAACAGTGCCGACTTGGGGCCTCGTGATTCGCGACCCTACCAAATAGGCCCGAAGCAAATCACAAGCCTGGGCAGCTAGTCCGAACCTGGCAAACACGCCAGGTCACCACCTACTGCCTTGGGTTTGACGGAAATCGCTAGCACCCCACATCGCTGGAAGCACAACAATCCGTCAACCCAACACAGTCCGATCGAGATACAACACAAGCAGCATGTAACAAAAAACTCGGAATTATTACGGAAACATAAGACTGCCAGAACACAAAAGAGCTGAAACATTAAAATATATAAAATGAGTGAGAGGCAACACTTATAATGTTCATGAACTTATTCTGTTTGGAATTTTTCAACCAACCTTCCCACATTCTTTCAGGATATGTATACATACATAGATGATTTACATGCAAATGCTTCCCTTGTAAATCATCGATGGAAAATCTTCTATCCTCCTTGCTCTTTACGTGAGTGGTACTCATACGAATCTTATGAATGATCTCTTCTCCAACCATCTTGCTCCCCCCCTCCCCTCTCACTCATTTTATATATTTTAATGTTTCAGCTCTTTTGTGTTCTGGCAGTCTTATGTTTCCGTAATAATTCCGAGTTTTTTGTTACATGCTGCTTGTGTTGTATCTCGATCGGACTGTGTTGGGTTGACGGATTGTTGTGCTTCCAGCGATGTGGGGTGCTAGCGATTTCCGTCAAACCCAAGGCAGTAGGTGGTGACCTGGCGTGTTTGCCAGGTTCGGACTAGCTGCCCAGGCTTGTGATTTGCTTCGGGCCTATTTCGTAGGGTCGCGACTCACGAGGCCCCAAGTTGGCACTGTTTCTGCTAACCCGGGGCCCCAGTCTGATCAATTCCCACCCACAAGCCTAGGCAGCTAGGCCGAGCTCGCCAGGTCACCACCTGCTGGCTTGGGTTTGACGGATTTCGCTAGCACCCTGGTTCACGGGAGCAGCGATCGTCAGCCCATTCACAATGGGCAGTACAGATACTTCAGCTAAATAGCCCAGACATAAATATTTTGGCCCTAAATATTATCGCAGTGGTAAAAAAAAATAAAACCCAATCGGATGACATAAAATTGGGGAGGCATCAACCCTAAACACATGCGACAAGGTGTTTAGGGTTGATGCCTCCCTGACCGGATGCATGCTCGTATGGGGTTTATATTTTTTGCCAGCTTGTCCGTTCAGAAATCTGTCACCTTGTGTGGTCAGGTCTGACGGAGCGCGTGGGTGAGATCCGAAATTGGTTAGAGACAGGTCCGGACCAGGCTCGACACATCGCAAAACACGAGGCCCCAAGTTGGCTACATTCCTAGAACTTTGGGGCCCCAATCTGATCATTTCCCATCTTTTATTGTCGCATGTGTCTTGTGCGACTCTGGCGGTGCTTCGCACACGACTCGGAAAATTCGATTTCGAAGTGTTTCACGTTTGAGCGCCATTTCACGTTCGCTTTCTCTGGACCATATGCACCGCCACTGAAAGTTCTGAAAGAATGGTGTTCGAATAGTGAAGGCGACACATGTTCGATTCTCGAATTCGATTTTTGGCCGAAGTTGGCAAAACGAACACGCCCTAAAGTGAAGGGAGGGGCAAATGGGTGAGGCGGTAAATTCCCGCCGAGACGCATGTCGCATTCCAGGTGCCTTCCCCAGGTTGGATTATGTTGCAGTCTGTACTGTACTGTACTCGAGAGCTTTGTCTGTTCGTTAGACCCGCAGCATGCGGCGGGATCCTCGTTAATGTCTCCCGAGACGTACGCTACACAAGTTAAATTTTATTGCCAACAGTGGAATGTGTGTTTGCATGCGCCTCAAATGCGTATCAGTTTTGAACAATTTAAAAAAATATTGTGTGACCAGAATACAGTACCAAGCCCAGTTTTGGGGACCCTTGTTGAAACAAAAGAGAGTTTTCTACTGCAAGAGCTAAACCCAGGTATCATTTTTAGGGCGGCTATGGGCAAGTCAGGGATAGAGATCGTGGAGCCTTCAAATCGGATCACCAAGGCATCTCAGTCGCGTTTGTTGAGTGTTGCAAAGGTGGTCCATACTTCTAATTCTGGCCGATTGAAGTGACGGGCCGTAGTTCGTGGGGCAGAAACGACACCATTGCAGTGCCGTTCTCTCATATCCTTCCCTTCCCTTTCCTACCATGCCCATCCCTTCCTTCCCCTCGCCTCCCAAACCCTAACTCTGTTGCTAGTGAATAAGGTTGCTGGTGTAATCTGGGAATGCCCAAAACAACAGAGATTGTTTTTAAGTTCACTATTGATCAAATTAGTCACACTCTATGGTGTGCAGGTACACTAGGGAACAGATAACAGTGGGCGCCTTGCCTGCAGCCCACAGGCAGGTTCCCATTAACACAGAAGCTGCGCAGAGTCCTCCCGCCTTGCCAGACCCTACAACCTCCCCTTCCTGGGCTTGGAAGAGCGCTTCTTGCAGGCAGGCAGGGGTTTCCCACAGAGCTTGGGGTTGCCGGGGCGGAAGCAGGAGGTGGGCAGGTCGGAGAGAGAGGGGGGGACGGAGCCAGAGAGGGCGTTGCCAGCGAGGTGCACCTGCAGGGAGGGGGCAGCAGCACGCAGCAGCGCAGGGATGGTGCCTGACAGCCCGCTCCACGACACATCCAGCTCCTGCAGGGCTGTCAGCGATGCCAGCCTTGCAGGGATGCTGCCGCTCATGCGGTTGCGCGCCGCTAGCAAGGAGTGCAGAGCGGTGAAGCGCGAGAGTGACGAGGGGAGCGAGCTGGAGAGCTGGTTGGTGGAGACGTCGAGCAAGAGGAGGGAGGAGGCGCAGGAGGAGGAGGAGGGGAGGAGGGAGGAGAGGGGACCAGAGAAAGTGTTGGAGGAGAGGAGGAGAGAGGCGAGGCTCTGCTTTCCCTGGCAGAAGGCAGGCAGGGAGCCTTTGAGCTTGTTGCGTGAGAGGTCCAGATGGGTGAGGGGCGCAATAGCAGCGAGGGAGCGGGGCAGCGAGCCCGAGAGCAGGTTCTTGGAGAGATCCAAGTGGGATAGGGCTGTGAGGCCGGTGACAAGAGCATTGGAGATGCTTCCTGTGAGCTTATTGGAAGAGAGGTCCAAGTGGGAGAGAAATTCGAGGGAGAAGCTCTGGCTGTTCCCTTGGGGAGGGACTGGGATGGGGCCAGAGAAATCATTGTGTGAGAGGTCGATCAGTATTGGGCACGAGGAGAAGACGAAAGTAGGGATGCTTCCAGTGAGCCTATTGTGGCTCAGCCGAACCACTACCCCGCATCTACTTTGCACACTTCATGTAGAGCTTGTTGCTTGCTCCAAAAACGGGTAAGTCTTTTCTGCAAGAGTGCCAGTAAACGCATTGTAGGAGAGGTCCAGATGATTCAGGCTCATAAGCCCGTCACTGTTGCCCAAATCCGGCAGATTTCCAGCCATGGTATTGTGAGACGCGTCCAGGATTCTCAACCCCGTACCCTCTTGGTACTGCCAACGGGCAAACCCGTCAAGCTGGTTCCAGCTCACGTTCAGATGCATCAATGCAGGCGGCACCGGCGGGACTTTTCCGGATAGCCGGTTGTGGGAAAAGTCAGATGTTATCAGGGAGCCATCCAGCTGAGTAATGGTGTCGGACAGCTGGTTGTATGACAGGTCAAGAGTCTTCATGGAGTATAAATTGATGATGGCAGGAATTGAACCTGTGAGCTGGTTGTGGGAGAGGTCCAGATGTCCTTGCACTTTGTCTCGCAGGAGCGTGGCAGGGATGGGTCCTGAGAGCTGGTTGTGTGACAGGAGCAGCACTGTCGACCGGAGGCCGTCGTCATTCCCAAAGAGGGGTGCTGATGCGGTTGTGTGAGAGGTGTCAGAGGTCCACTGGTGATCCCCAATTGATCCTAGGGAAGGGTTACAGGCATATTGGCCTGGGGGGTTATGGGCGCACTGACCCGCTACTTAAACAAGCCCTTTTATCCCAATGGTCTAGTGGTTGGGATTCTGACAAGAGGTCCAGGCAATAGGCGTGCCAGGAGGCGTTGCTGCCGGGGCCCCACGTGAGGCGATTGTTCGGCAAGTTGAGCATGAGGAGTCCTTGAGGGAGAGGGAAGAGCACGGCTGCGTCACCCGAGACCTCGTTGCTGCTGACGTCCACACGGGTCAGCAGCGGGAACACCCCGCGGAGGCCCCACAGGACAGGTGCACTGGAGGCAGTAGGGTCGGCGGGAGCAGGAGGTGGGGGAAAGGCGGCAGCGAGTGTAGAGACGTCCCCCTGGAGGGCGTTCCCCTGCAGGTGCAGGTCTGTGAGCGTCCAGAGCGCGCCGAGCTCCCTTGGCAAGCTGCCGTCCAGCCGGTTCTGGTCCAGCGCCAGGCGCGTCAGCCCCGTCAGAAGACCTACGTCAGCTGGAATGGACCTTGAGAGAGCATTCCCTCCCACGTCTAGACTCTCCAAGCTCGGCGACAGTGCGGCGGCTGCTGATGCTGCTGCTGCAGCGGTGGTCGGGAGGACCTCTCCTGTGAGGTTGTTCTCGCGGAGGGAGAGCTCTCGCAGCGAGGGGAGGGCGAAGAGGGCGGGGGGGATGGAGCCGGAGAGGTGGCGGTTGGAGGAGAGGTCGAGAGCGACGAGGTGAGAGAGGCGCGAGAGGGACGGCGGCAGGCCGCCGGAGAGGGCGTGCCCGGAGATGCGTAAAGAGGTGAGGTGCGTCAGCTGCCCCACCGCCTCCGACAGACTCCCGTCCGCACTCGCACGGCTGTTCGAGCTGCCGCCAGGGAGGCCCTCCAGGAAGAACTGCACTTGGGGGGGAGGCCGCGGATCCGCGTCCGCGCATATCTTGTCGCCACACTGGGTGTGTTCGCAATCGGGCGATTCTGGGACGAAGTTGGGGTGCAGGGTGACATAAGCATTGCCCAACAGGTGCAATGTGTCCACGTGTCCGTCTGCTGTGCACCCCACGCCGTACCACCCACACGCGCTGCTGCTGCTCGCGTCCCAACTGCGCAGAATCTCCCCCCATGAGCTGCTTCCGCCGTCCGCAAACTCCGTTCCCCCCGCTGCTTTCCCCAGGAGCGCATCGCGCACCGCCAGCAGCGCCTCAGTCTCCGTAGCGGAGACCTGCACGCCAGGCGCCGGCACGGGGATGTAACCCGCGCCCACGGTGCCCGCCATGCGTGCGCTGTTGTCGCTCACGCGCAGCCTATCCCAGTCGTAACTCCAATCCTCCCGGCACGTGTCAAACAGCGGCCCCGACAGCTCGTTAAACCGCAGGTCCGCGAGCGAGAAGCCGCCGCTGAAAAACGCCTCGGGAATACCGCCCGAGAAGTTGTTATGCGACAGGTCCAAGACCCCAGTCGGAAGCACCGTCAAAGCCTTCAGGCTGCCCGAGAGGTTGTTGTAGCTCAGGTCGATCCGGATTATCCTACCCAAGCCGCCCATGGATGGCTTGCGCCCCGACTGCGCGTTCGTCGCAAGGAACAGTTCGGGCGAAACGCTCCCCCGCAGCCCCGCGTACGGCGCGCTGAGAATCTCTAGCTTCGCGGGCAGCATGCAGCCGTGCAGAGAGCCCCCCCCTTCCTCCTCCTCACCTCCGCCGCCCCCGTCGCCACCGCCGGTTGCGCTGGCGCTGCTCCCGGCAGTCGCGCCGCCCAGGTCGTTGAAGCCCAGCCAAAGCTCGCGCGCGGGCAGCAGCGCGTTGCAGAACGGCCCAGTGAGTGCGTTGTTGTCCAACCGCACTTCGTCGAGAGCCTTGAGCGACTCGGAGTCGAGCAGTGACGCGAGCACCGCGCTGGACAGACGGTTCCCTCCCAGGTTGAGTTTCCGCAACGCCGTCATCTCCGCCAGCGCGGGCCGAATGGCGCCGGACAGGCTGTTGTTGCGCAGGATGAGCGCGGTAATGCTCTGCGAATACGCGCCCGCCTCCCCCGGGAGTTCCCCCGCGATGTTGTTGCTCTGCAGGTCCAACCGACTCAGCGCAGGCGCGTGGAGAAGGGCGCGCGGAAGCTCCCTCGAGAGCGCATTGCCATACAGAATTACCGTTTCCAGCGACGGGGAGTACGCGTCGGGCCCGTCGGGAAGAGACCCTGAAAGACCTTCATTTTGAAATAGAAAGTACGGGTAGGGACTAATCGTGTTGAGATCCACGTGGCGGAGCGCGGGCAGGCGGAAAAGGCCTGGCGGAATGGGCCCGGAAAAGTTGTTTTCGGGCATTTCAAATATCGTCAGCTTCTGGAGGCGTGTGACGGAGTCCGGCAAGTCGCCGGCGAGGCACGAATGGCGGAAGACCAGCGAGGAGTGTTGTAGAGGACTCTCCTCTACGTTGCAGGAACTGGGAAATGTTCTAAGCAATAGAGCTCTGTCTTAGCTTTCCAACGAGCCGTCACACACGTCGATCGCCTAAGTACCCGCCGAGATTTATGCGTTCACGTGTTGGGTGGTGCTCTTGAATGCAAGTATAGAAGCTCTCTGGAATTTGTGTTCGAATGCACTGTGTACAAAGTGATTCGCGTTTTCAGTATTGAACATGCAATACAAAGCAAACAGATTTATAGCATCTATCAACATCGAGTCGCACAAGTAACCTCGAATCGCGGTACACTCGCGAATGTTCGAGTAACATTTCGAAGGGGTGAAATTCGACACTCGAATTTCACCGAACCGAATGCCACTTCAATCTGGAATGTTCCTGGTGCTGCCATGTGGCACCGAATCGAGTGGGTCTTCCGAAGTCAACCCACACACTTCGTGAAACCTGCAGCTCACTCAAACGGTGAGCACCGAAACACATTCGGTGGGTTGGGGGCATACAAACGCCCCACCACCACCTTGCTTCCAACACACGCGATCTCCAACACTCCCCCCTGCACCCAACCCACTAGGTGTGCAATCCTACATGCTCATAGCATGCACGGGATGGATCTTTAGGGGGTGGTTCCATTAGAGATTCCGCGTGTTCATCATCACCCTTGGTCGCGAAGCAAAATGCCGCGCCCTCCTTATCCGTCTCCCCAACGGCTGCCGTAGCCAAGTCGGCGTATTGGAGGGAGGACCAACCTCACGACGCTCGCGGGTCAAGGCCAATGGTAGGGAGGAAGGTGTGGAGGTAGTTGCCGCCTCGGTTGGTGGCACCTCCACGACATCATCAACGCTTTCCTCGTCGTTCTCCCCCCCTCCATCGGCTTCCTTCTCCACTTGAGGTAGAACCTCACTTTTTTCAACCTCCTCTCGTGCCGGAAGGATGAAGGTGACTTGTTGAGTTGGTTTCTCCTTCGCCGGGAACTTGTCTTCATCGAAGACCACATCCCGAGACGTGACAATGCGTTTTTCACCCAAGTCCCACACTCGCCATGCACGCTCGTTTGGCGCAATTCCCAAGAAGATCGCCGCACGAGCTTTCGGTTGCAACTTGTGGCGAAGAGGATCCGGTACATGGTAGTAGCAAAGGCACCCAAAGGTGCGTAGGCGTGATAGGTTCGGCTTCGTTCCGCTCCATGCTTCGAACGGAGTTGTTCCCGGGAGCACCTTCGTCGGCAAACGGTTGCGAATCCACGCCGCTAGCGAACTCGCCTCACCCCACCACTCGCTCCCAAGCTTGGTGTGTTGAAGAAGTGAACGAACGGCTTCCACCAATGTGCGATTAAGCTGCTCCGCCGCTCCATTTTGTTGGGGTGTGTAGGGTGTCGTGACGTCGTGCTTAATGCCCTTGCTTTTCATCCATTTTTCAAGCTCGTTATTCACGAATTCGCCGCCACCGTCGGTGCGAATGCACTTGATCCGCTTCTTGTCGTCGTTGCATACGTCGAGCGCCCACTCTTGAATCGCCTTGGCCGCATCTCCTTTAGCCTTCAAGAGTCGGGTCCAACACATCCGCGTCGCGTCGTCGAGCATCACCAAGAGAAACCGTGCTCCTCTCTTTGATGCATGCCGCATCGGTCCACACACGTCCATGTGAACAAGCGCAAGGGGGTCCTTAGCGAGGGGAGAGGTACGGCTACCAAATGGCTTCCGAGCCGTTTTTCCGAGCCGCGCACACGCCCTTCTCGTCGTCGCCGGCGATCATGTCGAGTCCCTTCGCGAGTCCTTTGTTGGCCAACTCCTTGACCGAGTCGTAATTGGCATGCGCAAGCGGATTATGCCACGCCTTGAGGGTCGCCTTGGAGCCTTGCGCAACGTTCGATGAAGCCGCTCTCGGGTACGTCTTGAGTTGGTAGATATCTCCGTTGAGAACACCTTGCGCGAATTGCTCCCCCTTCCAAAAGAGGTTCATCTTCGCACCGTCGATGGTGGCGACCACGCCTTTCTTTGCAAGTTGCGGGACGGAGAGAAGGTTCACCTTCACCCCCCCGGATATGAAGCACGTGCATGACGTCCACCGGTCCACTATCGACGATGAGGCGCGTACTCCCAACTCCAACCACCGGTAGCGATTCGTTGTTTCCGAACACGATGCTCGTGACGTCTCCCGGAGCGCCAATGTTGTTGAGGAGCGACGCTGAGTGCGTAATGTGTTGCGTTGTGCCGGTATCGAGGAACCACGCGTCGCTTGGAGTTTTGTTCCCATTGCCGGCCACTAACACGAGCGACTCCTTTGAATCATCGGCCTCGCCGAATGCCGTGTGCGTGTTGCCCTCTTCGTCCCGCGCCTTCGATGGAGTCCAATCGCTCGGGCGCTTCCGACACTCTCGCCAAAAGTGTCCCGCTTTGCCGCAATAGTGGCACTTGCCGCGATGCTCGCTCCCACCGGATGATTCATTCGTCGCACCCTTGCTCCACTTGATCTTCTTTCCGAAACTCCCTCCGGAGTACATGGCGATCTCCACGCTCTCATTCGCGAATTGTCGGCGACGTGATTCCTCATGGAGAAGCCGACCGACCACCATTTCCTTCGTCCAAGTGCCTTGCACGCTATCGAGTTGTGATAGTTAGAACGAGAATGATTGCATTGAGCAGCATGAGGAGTACAAGTACCAAACCCTAAAGTGTTGTATCCCATATGAGCTACCCCACTACAGCCTACACAGACTATAGCATATGAGTTTGACACACCCCCATAGGCAAAGTGGGGGAGAACAAGGGGTCATAAGACCAGTCAAGCAAAGCACAGCAAGCTCAGGGTGGATCACAACGTCACCACACATTCTGAGCACAAGTTCAAAGGCCACAAGGCCAGTTCACATGCAGGTATATATATAAAAAGCTAAACATGCAAGGGCAGGTATATATAAGTCACAGTACAAGCAAGGTCAAGAAGTGAGCAAGTGAGGCAAAGTAGGCACAAGATCTAGCAGAGTACAGAAGCGCTGATGGTCACAAGGCGCGAGTGCCTTGGTGAAGATATCAGCAGTGTTGGCCTGAGAGGCCACGTAAGCAAGGCGCAGCTGACCGCGCTGCTGCAGCTCACGAGCGAGGAAGTAGCGAAGAGCGATGTGCTTTGTTCTGTGCTCCAGTCTGTGCTCCCGACACAAGGCCAGCATGGCCTTGTTGTCTACGTACAGAACTGGAGGAGAACGAGGCGGCTCTCCTAGGTCAGTCAGCAGGTAGGTGAGCCAGCGTAGCTCCTGTGCAGCCATGGCCCCTGCGTAGATCTCAGCCTCACAACTGGAGCCGAGAACAGAAGACGAGCGGGTAGACCGCCACAAAACAGAGCCGGAACCAAGGCTGAAGGTGTAACCCTGTGACGACCGCTGCGTAGCCTGGTCGTCAGCCCAAGAAGCGTCTGCGTGACCAGTGAGGACCAGTAGAATCCGCCCTCCAAGCACAAGCCCCATGCCCGACGTACTGCACAAGAAGCGCAACACCCTCTTCGCTGCAGCCATGTGCTCTGGTCTGTGTCTCCCAGGAGCAACATAGCGTGCCAGAATGCTAAGAGGGTATGCAAGGTCAGGTCGAGTGCAGGTCATCAGGTACATGAGGCAGCCAACAAGCTCTGGGTACGGGCCACTCGACTCTACGGACTCATCCGAAGGCAGAGCTGAGAGCAAGTGGCGAGTAGACAGAGGAGTGGCCCGAGGCGAGGAGTACGTGAAGCCGAAGCGCTGAAGGACCTGCTGCACCATGTGTGACTGAGTCAGGGTAATGGTGCGCTGTGCTCTGTCCCGGGTGATCTGCAAGCCAAGGTAGCTGCGCAGTTCACCTAGGTCTGTGCACGTGTGTCTCTTCTGCAGCTCGGACTTCACGTAGGCGAGTCCAGCAGTGTCAGCTGTGGCCAAGACCAAGTCGTCGACGTACACGAGGATGTAGAACGGCGGCAAAGAAGTGTCGGTGCGCAGAAACAGCGACGGGTCGGCAGTAGAAGGAGCAAACCCAAGAGCCGCAAGTGTAGTCCTCAGTGTGTCGTGCCACTCACGAGGTGCCTGGCGGAGACCGTAGACTGGCCGCCGGAGGCTCCACTGGGTGCCAGGAGGAAAAGTCCCAGTGAAGCCAGGTGGGCGGCGCAGCCAGATCTCCTCGTGCAGGCTGCCCTGCAAGAAAGCAGTGCTGAAGTCAAGAGAGTGAAGCTCGTAGTCACGGTGAGCGGCTATGTGCAGCAGTACCCGAAGAGTGGTCATCTTCGGGGTGGGAGAGAAGGTCTGAAAGTAGTCAACTCCCTGCCGCTGACTGAAGCCACGAGCGACGTAACGCGCCTTGAAGACAGGCGGAGAACCCGGCGGCCGCTTCACCCTGAAAATCCACATGCCACTGACGATGTTCGCCCCAGGCGGGGGAACCTCGTCAACGTAGGTGCCTGTGGACTTCCAGGAAGCCATCTCTGCGTCCATAGCTGCCTGCCACTGAGAGGAGTATGGACCCTCTATCGCCTCCGCGTAAGAGCGCGAAGTCGGGATGTCTGGTGCATCCGGGTCTCCCTCAGGGGCAAGTAGCATGGACACGAGATGGGGTGAAGCAGCCGCAAGACACTGGAACTCCTCCTGCCTGTCCTCAAGGACGTCCGTCCCAAGAGCACACTCACCCCCGACGGACGGAGGACAGACAGACTCAGACTCAGCGACAAGACTAGCAGCGTAGTCTAGGCGACAGCGAGCAGCGAAGTAGACAAGCTCAGCAACTAGGGCAGACGCCGCAGTGGACTCGAAGGAAGGGTCAGTGATGACAGTAGCAAGGAGACACGTGACAGTAGGACAAGCAGCACGAAGGGAGTCCGACTCCGGGTCAGCAAGAGCAGGAAGAGAGGACTCAGGAGGAGAAGGCAAAGGGGCACGCAGAGGAGCAGT